TTTTAGCTAGTTTTATTTCAAACATCGTGATGCGTTTTAGTTAGTTTTATCTCAAGCATCATGATGCATTTTAGCTAGTTTTTATCTCAAGCATCATGATGCATTTTAGCTAGTTTTTATTTCAAGCATCGTGATGCATTTTAGCTAGTTTTATCTCAAGCATCATAATGCATTTTAGCTAGTTTTATTTCAAACGTCGTGATGCGTTTTAGCTAGTTTTATTTCCAACATCGTGATACGCTTTAGCTAGTTTTTATCTCAAGCATCATGATGCATTTTAGCTAGTTTTATTTCAAGCATCATAATGCATTTTAGCTAGTTTTATTTCAAACATCGTGATGCGAGTGTTAGTGGTGTTTGTACATGTCTTTTATTTGCTGAATGTCTAAAAAACACATGACTGTTATAATAACTGCATTTATCAGCGATAATAGTCAGGTCTACCTCCAGATCATCTCCCTTACTTGCTACTACTATTGCAAATTGGTGGAAGAAATCTATTTGATAATTACTTATCAAAACCTTCAGGCTCACTATCTTGATCAGTCTCAATTAATTACATAGCTTCTTTATGACTTAAGCCTTTCCTTCGCAAACCCTTGTGCCTTAGATATCATAAGCAGTTCGTATTTTCAATTTCTTATATCAAGGTACATTTGATGGGAACACTGAACAAAGCTTTTGGTATGTGATGTGCTTTGAAAGACTGTTAAAACACACAAAGAGCCCATGTTTGAGATAAAACTAGCTAAAACACATCATGATGCTTGAGATAAAAACTAGCTAAAATGCATCATGATGCTTGAGATAAAAACTAGCTAAAATGCATCATGATGCTTGAGATAAAAACTAGCTAAAACACATCACGATGTTTGAAATAAAACTAGCTAAAAGTAGATTTGCCAACTATTATCAGACAAGAGCTGGTGGTGTTGACTCGCTGCCTGCCTTTTTCCTAGTCTATCAGTTTAAAATTAGGGATGGGTGATGATTTAAATATTTAATGCCCTTTGCTGTGACATACATAATTATTTGTATACTTTTCTTAATTTCACAAAACATTTCTCCCACATACATGCCATCTTTCCCATATATATATTTTGTTTAAAAATATTTTTTTACATTATTTTTTGCTTAAATGTAAATTTAAAAAAAGCACTGAAAAAATATAATATTGAATATTTGTTGTTAAAAGAAATGTTACTGTAGGAACTTTAACTTTGCCACAGTTTTTTACTTGTATCCAGGTCACTACCAAAAAAATCTGGAGCTGTGTAAGAAACTTTATAATACATAAATTCTGTGTAAATAGGACTGGTAATTGTGCTTGCTGCTCCTAAAACTGGCTTTCTGAAGATAAGTTGATCCAGTTGAAACTACAACAGAAAAAAGTTTCTGAAATTTGTTTTCCATTTTAATACTAACACGTTAAAGTAACAAAATGTGATAAATATTAGCTGTATGTGTATGGGTTCTGTCTGTTGGACTGACCCATATTGGAGAAGGAATATTGAAAATAATTCTAGTTTTACCATGTGTATCTATGTGAAATGTAACAAGTTTTTAGTAAAAATGTACAAGTCTGTTGTAAGCAAAAATCAGATGAGTTACAAATCTGTCACTGAACTGATGGCATCAGTCTGACTCAAACTGAGAGGTCAGAGTGCAAGTTTGTGTGAAGAGTAAAAATATTTTTAGCCCATCTAATAATTTGTATATTGCGATTGCATAACCTCTAGAATCTCCAAAATGCATGTCTAAAGTTTTCCAGTATCCCTGTATATTGTATCTGGTATTACTTTCCTCTGCCATGAACTGTTACTAAATCGGCAGTTTAAGGTAAAATGAATAGAGGATAATTCTAATATTAAATGCATAATGCAACGTTGAATGACACTCCATAAAAGGTAAAGGCTTGCACACTTTGACCCGCACCCATGCACATAGGGTTAACTATGTTGTATATTATTTTAACTTGAAGCAAAGCATTCTTGTGGTTTTAATTACGCTATGAATTTTGCCACTTTTTAATGATGTAAGTAAGGTGGTCATAATTACATAATATATAATGATTTTCTTCGTGTCGTTCTTGAATGACATAACTACAAGATTCTCAGTTTATATACTTAATATGTGACAATGTTAATATGTTTTCTAAAAATGTGGAGTTATTGTACTGTTTTTTTAGTGTTATTTATAATTTAAAACTTGTGATGGTTCTATATTTGAATTTTTTTTTCTAAGACTTCCTGTAGCTTTGCAGAGTTAATATTTCACTGTGATTACTAACATACAGGTTGCACTCAGATGATTTCAAGTCAAGAATTTTGAAGCATTTTGGTACTTACAGCAAGTTTAAGAAGTCTTTCTAGCATCAATGAAAAATTCATTTCCTGTAGTAACTTCCTTTTTCTGTTGTTTACAAACTGATTTTATCCAAGATTTTCAAAATAAAGCCTAACATATAAGAGAAGTTTAATTCAACCACCTGATAATTTTTAAGTACCAAAATTACTTCTTTCAGTGATTTCCCTTTACAAATATATATTTATTCTCTCTAAATAAGTTCCATTAACTTATTTGATATAAATTTGTTAGCTTGAAAATATTTTGAGTCCTGAAGAAATGAGAAAGATGTCTTGCTTTATAATTTAATTTTGAATGGCACTTCAAGAAGTTGGAACAGCAGCATTATTTAGTCAAAATGAATAATTAATATACAGCAATTTAGTGTACTCAGTTAAAAGATACTTACTGAAGCTGTCAAAGGCCTCTACGTAAACACTCTACATGTTTTGATGTATATACATCATCTTCAGGAGTGACTTACAAAACTAACATTTTAATATTTATACACTTGTTACAAGCCATGTTATATTACTCTTTATATAATTTTCTTAAATTACTGACTTTACTTTTACACTAGGTTTGTCATACACAAATAATAGAACTAGTTAGACCTTCATCTCTGATTAATACATTTTATTTTTTTTAAGTTTTACTATTTCTAATGGTTTTCAGATATTCATAGTATTAATACTCTGAAGTTGAGCTTGAATTATAGATTTGTCACACAAAATTGTGTTTTGTGTAAGTGTTCTGCTGCAGATGAATTTTTTAATTTATTATTTCTTGTGTAACCTTTATTTTCTTGTAAACTGTATCTTAGTTTGATCAATATAAATACTACCACATTCACATTTGGTGTTTAAAATCCCAGTTTTTATCTTTTAACTCTATTTAATTATTGATATTTGGTGTTTAAAATCCCAGTTTTTATTTTTTAACTCTATTTAATTATTGATATTTGGTGTTAAAAATCCCAGTTTTTATCTTTTAACTCTATTTAATTATTGATATTTGGTGTTAAAAATCCCAGTTTTTATCTTTTAACTCTATTTAATTATTGATATTTGGTGTTAAAAATCCCAGTTTTTATCTTTTAACTCTATTTAATTATTGATATTTGGTGTTTAAAATCCCAGTTTTTATCTTTTAACTCTATTTAATTATTGATATTTGGTGTTAAAAATCCCAGTTTTTGTCTTTTAACTCTATTTAATTATTGATATTCCCCAACATTTGTTTAGTCTTAACCATAGGTTTGAAGATGTAATAAAGTTTTTTTTGCTCTTAAATACAGTGTATATTAAACAACTGACATCTTAATCAAGGAATATGAGGTATACTTTCATTTTTAGTTATATCATAAACAGATTTTAACATAGTATTTTTAACTAATATTGAACCAATATATGAAATTTCTACATTTTATAAGTATATGCACAGATCTTTGAAGATACACAAGGAGTTAAGTAATGAATTATTCTTAATTAAACATGTAGCAGTTGAAAGAGGATTTATATCTCATATACCAATACATTAACTATGGATTTTCAACACGCACTCTTGTTAAATTAAATACGTACATAATTGTAGCTGCTAGAATTCTATCTAATATTCATTTATTTTAAAAACATCTAATAGTTTATTCTACTAGGGTTTTAGTGAATAATGATATTACACACAAATGACTCATGTAGGTAATCTTTTTTTTTAAAGTCACTTTATTAAAATTCCAGCATTTGAAATTATGGAGATATTGAACTTAACAAGAGATTGTATGTATATTTTTTCTAGTTTACTATAAGTATTAAAAACAAAAAGAATAATTAGTTATTATATAGTACCCATTGTCACCTTTGTTATGTGATATTTCTTTACAGGGATTTATTTGAAACTGAAGCATTACATAATGCATAGTATAAACCAGAGGCTTGAATTGGGTATGTAGATGACACATTCTTGGTGTAGCTGCATGGCAACAGTACATTAAAAGGATTTGCTAGCTACTTAAATCGTATAGAACACTCAATTTAACTTGTATATGAAATAATAGTTTACCTTTAATACACGTATATGTCAAAAACGATATAGAGAGTCATTTAGAAATAACAGTTTTTCAAAAACCTTTTTCTGTTGTCATGCCACGATACCAAGAATCACGTCATACACAAACACAAAACCTGGCCTACTGTAAATGTTGGCAATTAACTTGACAAAATAGCTTAGAATGTAGAATCATGTGACTTGTTATAAGTGTATAAATATTCAAACCTTTGTCTTGTAAGTCACTTTGTACATGACATGGATATGTTAAAACATTTAGTGTTTTTTTAAATGTAGCCCATTGGTGGTTTCAGTATATACCATTTAATTGTGTACAGTAAAACGTTGTCTTTTGATTAATAATTTTTATTTCAAAATTAAGCCCAGGTGGTTAGGGCACTCGACTCGCAATCTGAGGGTCGCAGGTTTCGAATCCCCGTCCCACCAAACATGCTCGCCCTTTCAGCCATGGGGGCGTTATAGTGTGACGGTCAATTCCACTATTCGTTGATAAAAGAGTAGCCCAAGCAGAGGGTGGTGATGACTAGCTGCCTTCCCTCTAGTCTTACACTGCTACATTTGGGACGGCTAATGCAGATAGCTCTCGTGTAGCTTTGCATGAAATTCAAAAACAAACAAAATTTCAAAATAAGCAAGTCTAATCATTCATACTTAACACTGCATAGTGTTTGAAAAGTGTGAAAACTGAAGGTAGTTTTATTATTCGACTGCACAAAATTTCAAAAGGTATTTTTAATATATTTAGCTGAACTTTATTATTAGCCAATTGAAGAACAAATAAAGATAAATATTATTTTGCAGGCACTATCATAATTAGGAAATAATACTTGGCTAGTTCTTATAGGATTTCTTACATAAAGCAAAACTTGACAGTATTGACCTATACTGTTTCTCTTACATCATTAGGATTTGAATCAATCGCTAATTTTGAACACATCATTGAAGTGATTAATATTGCGGAAGAAAAACTTCTTTAGAGTAGGAAGTAAACATGAAAAAAAATTAGTTTTCCTCTTTGTTTTTTCAGGTACCAAATCACTTGATATGGTTGTTGTTTTTCTACTGGTTTTTCCACTCTTGCCTCAACGCTGTTGCTGAAATTCTTCGCTTTGCTGATAGAGAATTTTATCAGGATTGGTGGTAAGATTAGAATCCATTTATCAAAGAAACTACAAACTTTTATAATTGAAAATTATACAAGATTTGTTAGTAGATTAGCTGAAAATTGTTAAAGAAAATTAATATTTAGTAGTTTGTTTTGTTAGCATATAAGCAGTATTTTGCACATTTGGGAGTTAAAATATCCATGTAGTTTTGTAGTTCACTAATTAAAGATAGTTAGATGAACTACAATGTTGTTATTCTTGCTCTCTCTCAAGTAAAACTTGATGGTAGTTGTGTCAGAAAATATTAAAGCATTTAAGTTTGTTTGTAGAACTTGTACAATCTGATGGTAGTTGTGTTAGAATATATTAAAGCATTTAAATTTGTTCGTAAAACTTGTACAATCTGATGGTAGTTATGTTAGAATATATTAAAAAATTTAAGTTTGTTTGTAGAACTTGTACAATCTGATGGTGGTTGTGTTAGAATATATTAAAGCATTTAAGTTTGTTTGTAAAACTTGTACAATCTGATGGTAGTTGTGTTAGAATGAATATATTAAAGCATTTAAGTTTGTTTGTAGAACTTGTACAATCTGATAGTAGTTGTGTTAGAATATATTAAAGTATTTAAGTTTGTTTTGTTTTCTAAAGTTAAACAACATAATATACTTGAAGGAAACTTAAATTGCTTCAATGAAATCATGTTAAATAATACTTCACACCTCAGATATTTTGTATTTATTAACTAGACATTGAGCAGTTTGTGTAGGAACCAAAATTTGATTAATGGTTGAGCCAGCTGTATAACTTACTGAAAAAAAGACCTTTTGAACAGATTAATTATTTGTTCATTGTAATTATACAGAGTTGATAAAATCTTAATTTATTTTAAAGAATTACAAATAGACATTTCAAATGTTAAGCATAATGATTAGCACTACAGTTTGGGGCAAATTGCTAAGTTTTTCACAGAGATCATAATCACTTTTTTTCCAGGATTCGTAAGATTATCTATGGAAATCTGCATAATTTAATATTTTTTAATCTCTGGAACAAAGGACAACAAAACCGTACTTCTTTTAAACCTTCGGTAGAGGATTAATGGACAAATGAAAATTTTAAATCTCGGGAAGATGGTGGTTTCATTTTACCATTCTCATAGTATAACGTCAACTAGAACAGTCATATTGATAATTTTAACTTTAAAAATGATTACTTAGGATATAAAAATGTGATACTTTGAGAGAAAAATTAATAATTAAAAATAACCATTTCAAACTTGCAAAACTTTGCAAAATACCTTGCCATTAAATAAACCTCTTTTTTTTTAACATTTAAAAGCAACAAATTGGGGATGTTGACAAAAAAAATTAAATAGGTTATCAATAACACTCATAGAAAATGTAATATATATTTAGACACAAACATTTACAGTGTATTATTCAGTTTAGTCCAACCTTGTTTGAGAAATAACTGAAAGTCAACTAAAAATTGAAGATGGAAAAAAAGACAAAATTAAACTTTCCTGTTGAAAATAGAAAGCACTAGTTGATTGTTATCTGTCTCACAAAATCAGTGGGATTTACTACAAAACATGATTATATCCCTACATAAAAACTGCTGAAAATAGAAAGCACTAGTTGATTGTTGTCTCTTACAAAATCAGTGGGTTTTACTACAAAACATGGTTATATCCCTACATAAAAACTGTTGAAAATAGAAAGCACTAGTTGATTGTTGTCTGTCTCACAAAATCAGTGGGTTTTACTACAAAACATGGTTATATCCCTACATAAAAACTGTTGAAAATAGAAAGCACTAGTTGATTGTTGTCTGTCTCACAAAATCAGTGGGTTTTACTACAAAACATGATTATATCCCTATGTGAGAATAAGTGAAAATTGAATGTACAAAACATCAAGATGTAATTTTTTTTGCTTGATTCAGTTTCATGTTCAGTAGGAGAGTTTCCAGAATTAAATTTTAACAAGCATTTTAAATTTACTAAAAAGATAAATTATAGATTGATTGGAGTAGCTTAATAGCAATTAATAAATAGAGGGGGAAAAGAAAGCTAAAATAATTTTGAACTAGTATTTTTTTGTTTTTTTTTACAGGAATGCAGAAACTGTTAACTATTTTTGGCAAAACTGGAATATCCCCGTCCATCGCTGGGCAGTTCGTCATTTGTACAAGCCGCTTGTTAACAGAGGATTTAGTAAACACCATGCTTCAATCAGTGTGTTCTTTGTTTCAGCTTTTTTTCATGAGGTATATTATTTTGTTTTTTGTAGAATAAATGTGGAGTAATGCTTATAAAAAATATTGTATATCTAAGAAAAGCTAATTTCATTTTAATATACTTGCATTTTAAAATTAATAATTGTATATTAAGTAAGTTTTTCTCAATGTATTATCGATGGAATATCTCAAAGTGCTGTTATTAGAAAAAAGTGATATGTCCCCCCAGTGGATCAGTGGTAAGTTTCCAGACTACAACCCTAAAATCCAAGGTTTTATTCTCCTAAGTAAACAAAACACAAGCAGCTTATTTTGTAGTTTTGTGCTTAGAACATTAACAGCAATAGAGATTGATACCTTGGCAAATGAACTATTTACTTCATTTTCAGTAGCTGTTTAACCTTTGTCATTTGTTCATTCTTAATGTATGGTTGAGTCAACCAAGATGAAAGTATTAGCACAAAGAGTCACCGTAAAAAATGATGTGCATTTCAAAAGACCCATAAACACGAGTGCTTCTTTACCAGTCAACTTATCAAAAGTACTCAAGTTTCTATTGGCTGTTATAGTTACAAGCAGAACAGAGAGTGGTGATCTTTGAAGTTTATCTGGACGAGTCAGAAAGTTTCTATGTACTGTTATAGTTACAAGCAGAACAGAGAATGGTGATCTTTGAAGTTTATCTGGTTGAGTCAGAAAGTTTCTATAGACTTATAGTTACAAGCAGAACAGAGTGGTAATCTTTGAAGTTTATCTGGTTGAGTCAGAAAGTTTCTATAGACTTATAGTTACAAGCAGAACAGAGAGTGGTAATCTTTGAAGTTTATCTGGTTGAGTCAGAAAGTTTCTATAGACTTATAGTTACAAGCAGAACAGAGAATGATGATCTTTGAAGTTTATCTGGTTGAGTCAGAAAGTTTCTATGGACTGTTATAGTTACAAGCAGAACAAATTATGATGGAGATCATCATTCTGAAGCGTGATTGCTCAGCAGATCCTAAATATGCATTAAGCTAAATATTTCAAGACTAGAAAAATTAATTTTCACTGGATCCTTATTAAGTGCCTGTCTGAGCTAGAGACTAGTAGTTTACGTGCAGACTTTTAACCTTCATTACCCCTGTAGAAAATAAAACTTTGATTTGTATGTTACATATATGTATATATGAAAAATGAAAAATACAACTATTTCCTTCATAAGGAAAATCAAATAAGCCACCCTGATAAAGGCTAATATCAAAGTCTTGATATAAAAACTGTTCTTTTGAATTCTAAAATTACATGTTTGTTTAACTACAGAGTTTGTACAAACCTAACAAATAATGTTTCTCTTATCTATTGGTGTAGGTTAGCTTTGTGGTAAAGCTCTGGATTTTGGAGCTGGTGAACTGGGTTTGAACCCTTGCAATACTAAAAAATATTCCCCACAACTTTAAGCTAGGTGTGCATAATAGGAGTGACAGTAAACTCCTTAGTATAGATGGTAGGTGGTAGGTTGCTGCTTACTGGCTGCTTTCCATCTGGTCAGTAGCTCAAAATTAGGGATTGTAGCATAAAGCCTTAATAGCTCCACCATAACTACAAATATTATACAGTATTCTTTATTTTTTCTACATAGCTACTCGATAATTTATTGAATATAAGTGTGCACCTAATAAACTATGATTCTATTTTGTCAGAGTGCTAAAATTACAATAAATATTTTTTATAAACAGTATCTAGTCAGTATTCCGTTGAATATGTACCGGATTTGGGCTTTCTCTGGGATGCTTGGACAGGTAGGTTGGCTAGTTATTTTCAAATAATTATGTAAATGTGTGTTTTTTTTCCTTATTAACAACATGTATATAAAGTTCTTAAGATTATTGAGTTTTTGTTTTTCACTGTTATAAGTGTTTTGGTTTTAGCTTTTTTTTCTTTTCTTGATAAATAATAAATCAGTTTGTCACTTTAGTTGAACAAGATTAAAGACTACTTGAAAAAAATTTACAGTTTTTCCACTTCTTTTTTAATGTAATGTTAAGTATGGTATATAAAGTCTTGAAAAAAAGTAGTATTTACTGAAAAAGTACACCCTCCCCCCCGATGGCTTGCAGTAGTCATCCTGATGGGCTAAGAATGCTAAAATCTGCGTTTTTATACCCTGTGAGGGTAGTCCATTGTGTAGCTTTGTGCTTAACAGCAAATCAAACCCAAAACAAAATCTTACTTACAATCTTGGCAAGGATACATAGCTTTTTTTTTTAATTATTAGGAGATCTTAAAATCTTCTTCTGTGACACATTTTTATCACCGCTGTTTTTTAGTTTTTATAATTATCAGTTTAATTCAAATTTAAAACTTAAGACCAGTACAGATTCCTTCCTAGACAAAGTCGTACAACATAAAACAATATTGTCTTCTGATTTAGGGTTAGCTAGGAAAGCTATTTTTTATAGACTGTAGTTTAATATGTTAAGATGCATAACAGATGTTCTCCCTAACTAAATTGGTTACAAACTTGGAAAACATGAAAAAAAGTCACAGAATTTAAAATAGAGTAAAAAAATTGGAGCAAATTATCCCCAAACTAAGAAACATTAGGGAAAATTGTTTTATCTTGGAGCCTACATGCATTTGCAAGCCATGCTGATTAGCTATGCCAATTATTGGCATATTTTTAAACAATGTTTAGTCACTCTGCTGTTTTGTGATGATAATTATTTAATTCATTATATTTGATGACAGGCTCAGATCAAATGCTGTTTAATAGATAATAATGCTGTTGCTGTTGACTACTGTACTGTTGTCTGAAGTCAGAATATTCTAAAGTTGGAGTTTTTATAAAACTTTATAACAATATTTCAAGCTAAAGTAGTGTTAATCAGGTAGATTTATGAGGAAAAGTTTAAATATAAATGTGCAGGTCTAAAATTTTGCCTTGAAAGTCAAGAAAAAAACAACATTGTTTGGAAAAGATGTAAACATCCTGTTAAGCTGATTTATTAGAAACTGTTAAAATGTTTGAAAAATAACACTTGCTTTTACCTTTTTCAGTTCAGGGATAGTATTAAAATATCTAAAATCACAAATGTTTGGAATGTAAAATATTTTGTGTAAATTCAGCACTATTTATAGAAGATATACAGCACTCTTGCATTCTTTTTAGAAGTCTTGCCACATTATTGAATAGTTTTTAAAAGTCATGTAACACTATTACATAATTTTGAGAAGCCATGAAACACTACTACATAATTTTGAGAAGCCATGAAACACAACTACATAATTTTGAGAAGCCATGAAACACTACTACATAATTTTTAGAAGCCATGAAACACTACTAAGTAATTTTAGAAGTCATACAGCACTACTACATAACTTTCAGAAGCCAGACAGCACTACTAAATAACTTTAAGAAGTCATGAAACACTAAGTAATTTTAGAAGTCATGTGACACTACAACATAACTTTCAGAAGTCATACAGCACTACTACATAACTTTCAGAAGCCAGACAGCACTACTAAATAACTTTCAGAAGTCAGACACCACCACTAAATAACTTTCAGAAGTTATACAGCACTACGAAATAACTTTCAGAAGTTGTACAGCACTACTAAATAACTTTCAGAAGTCATACATTGCTACTTCATAACTTTTAGAAATAATGCAGCACCCATACATAACCTTAACAATGATAAAAATTTAGTTGGTTGTACATGATTATATTAATTTGGAATTTTTGTCATTCCTGCTTCTGTTAGACTAAAACCTATCTTTTTTTGTGTGTTTTTTACACTTATTTGAAATATGAGTTTAATTGTATCAATGTTTTGATATGCTTATTTTCTTTATTGTGTCTAATACTTGTATATGCATACATACACATTTGTTTTGAATTCTAAAAGTATTTATTTCTTAGTCAAACATTCATATTTAATTCTTTGAATTAAAAATAAACCCATGTTTTTGTGTGTATACTTTTTTTCATAAAGAATTTATCAGTTTTGACTTAGCCCTGCTGTAATTGTAACCCATTAGGCTTACAACTACCAAAGTAATGTACACCTTGTTTTTCCATAGGTTCCATTTGCAATGTTTGTGTCTCGTTTTCTCCACAACCAGTATGGAAACATGGCAGTATGGGTATCCATCATTATTGGACAACCTCTATGTATCCTGATGTATTACCATGATTACTATGTTATCCATTATGGAAGTCTTGAGGCTGTTTCCTGAGAAACTATTCCAGATATTTCTTGAAGATGCTTAGCATATTAAATGCATGCTAATGTATATTTTATTTTGTAGCTAGCTTTACATTATCAACTTTGGCTTACTTTTGGACAATCCACACATGGATGTAATAACTTGATCTTGTACAAGATTTTGAGAGTTTATAGTCCTGGTTTGTTTCGGCAATAATAGCATCTGATCAGGTGTTGACTTTTTTCACCATTTGATAATAAAAACTTTGTTAGTTAAGTAATAACTGTGGGTAGAGCTTAGAACTTCTACGTATGCTTCTATTGAAATATGCAGCCTGTCCACTTCCAAAGTCATACATAGTCTTGTTTTTTTTTTTTCTTTCATGCATATTCTTATGAGTTTTCTCGAATCAGGATTGAGCTGAGGTAAGCAAGATGCTCCAAGATAAATAATATACCCTCCCGTTCTTACACCTACTTTTTATTTCTCTTTCTTCCCTCATATTTCACACACATTTTCGTTTCAGGATGTCAATGGGCAGTATCAGGAAATTTTACTCAAATGACTTAGCTCGTTAGGCAAGTTTTTAGTTCATTGAAGTTTAGGTCATACAACATAATACAGCTCAAGTTTTCAGGTTACTGTTAAATACACTGCTGTATAGCAAGGGTTTGGAGAAAAGCAGTAAATCTACTACTATTTAGATAATCAGAATCTTCTCTCAAACCACTGGCAGATCCAAAGGGAGGATAAATCCCCGTGTTTAAGGGCCTACCAAATAAGGGTACCTGTAGACCTAAAAGCAAGTTTTTTTTAAAAACTGGTGGAAGAACTCTTCCCCCACAAAAAAAATTGGATTCCCCCACCACCATGCAATTGTGATAGTTTTGGATGAAACTGTTGAAAAAAAAGAACCTAAAAGTTATTTAAAAGCTTTTGTCCTTGATTGTTTTGCCTAAGCCAATGAGTGCAGTTTGAGTGTTATTTGAGTTTCTTGTTTCTAACAGATCTAGCATTTAGATACCAATGGCACATTAGTAAACTGTACTTAACACCATGTTTCTTTTCTTTGGTTGTTGTTTTTTTCATTTGTTTCTAGATCAATTACATGTAATATTTTTACTGGTAGATTTAACAGATCCCACTTAAGAAAAAAGAAGGCAATAACAGTAATGTGAATATATTTTAAATGTTTGTTCCAATATATATTTTTATTGAAAAATCGTGAACACTATAATGAGTAATTATTAGTATATTTTTTCTTTTTATCAATTTTTTTTATGATTTCTTTACCACAGATTTTGATATATTTATTATATTTGTAAAAATAAAATGAAAAAGGGATAGAAATTACAGTGTTTGAAAACTTGTGTTCCTGATGAAAGTTGTATTTGATTATTTGATGTGCCAAGAGCAATACTTTTTTCAGCCTCTTTTCATTAGATTAAGGGTTAAGTTAGTTAGTGGTGGAAATATTACATTTTAGCAACAAAAAAAATATTATAAGAGCTATCTTACATATATCAGTGGCAAGTCAACTATGTATTTACCTCTTAGGATGGCTTTTTACAAAGATCTTTAGTAATTTTAAATTTCATGTTATCATTTCTGAAGTGGAGACTTTTAGGAACATGTTTATTAGAAAAATATGTACATTAATGTTTTATAGTGTGAAGAAATTATGGCCCATTAGAATGAAGGACTAAACCTTGAGAGGGTTTACTGCTGCGATAAATGAAACGATTCAATCACGTCTTTTCTTCCTGACCATTGTTTGTGTCCAGTAGTGCTTCTTCATTAACAAAATACAGTTCACAGTTTCATCTTTATCTTAGATAAAACTACAAAAAACAACTTTTGTCAGTTTAAGTTTTCAGGTTAAAATGTAATAAACATGTTTTGGAAAAACGAAAAATTTAGATATAACATAGAATGAAATGTTTTACTGTGAATAAATTATTTTAAAATATCCTCGTATTACCAGATTCTACTAGATTCAAATATATACTTATACAGAATCCAATTCTGTTTAATTTGTCTCTTTATATTACTCTAAAGTTTTTTGTAGTTCTACCAGAATCAGTTTAAAAAAAGAAAGAAAACTATGTAAATACATTATAAAGAAACTTTGTAAAGATAATCTCTATCAATGTTATTTTTAAGTCTAGTTGACATAAATACTCCTTGTTGTTACCACACGTAAGATTGTTTAAAAGCACTTAAATCAAGTTTGCATCATTAAATCAATTTAAAATTTATTATCCTAAGTAAAAATTTATTTTGAGCAAGATTTTGATACTAAAAATATTCAACTGAAGTATTTTTGTTAAAAAAAAAGATATACACTCTTCGGCTAATAAAATTTTAACAATTGAGATATTGAAGAGGTATGGTTTTATATGAGATGTCGGAAATAGCACTTAGATTTGCAGTGAAAATTAATTTGTATTGATACAGATGCAAAGTATGTATGGTAGTTTTATATTTCATATAAATGAAAAGTTATTGAAGCTTTGATGTTACAGTGAATAAGACGTTCAGAGTTTCAAATCATGATTACTGTGAAGAAAATTGGTGTGCATATCAAATAAAACTGTGTTTAAAACATAAACTTTGATACAGTTTTGTTTAAAATAAGCTATGTTGAAGTATAACTTTCTGCTATAAGTAAATTACAAACAATTCTTATGTTTTTAATAAAATCTTTGAAGAAACTGATACAATATTAGTAATGTCTAATCCACCTCGAATTCTGTTTAAAGCAGACCATGCTTCAACAGTCTATTTTTCAGAAAGAAAGAGAAAAAAAAAAGATTTTAATACAAACAGTTTCTGGAATTGATATATAATTTGTTCTTAATCTCTGCAAAATAGGAAATGAGAATTGGATAAATAGATTGTATAAGTTTTTAAAATATTAAAAGCTCGGAGCTATAATACAAAGTGTGATATAGTGAGTTGGATCAGCAAACCCCATTCATTGCTGTAACATTAAAAACTTGTAATTAATAATATTTGTCATAAGGCAATAGTATTAAACTCAGTGTATTTTTAAAAACTATTTTTTTTATACGGTCCCTTACAGTTTTTTCGAGAAGATTTTATTTCAACCACACATAAATGACCAAATAAAGAACGTACTGTTTAAAAATGAATTAAACTTAAGCAAACAGCATTCATTGTTATTCTAACAAAGAGCTTATATAAATAGCGTTCTGATCACTACTGTGTTTGTTGTATACCAACCATCCTGATGAGTTATGGTATTAAGAAGGCCTTGCGTGGTTTGATTGCTAGGGCACTCAACACGCAATCCAAAGGTCGTGGGTTCGAATCCCGTCATCAAACATCCTCACCCTTTCAGCCGTGGGGTGTTATAACGTGTAAGGTCAATCCCACTATTCGTTGGTAAAGAGTAACCTAAGTGTTGGCGATGGAGGTATTGACTACCTTTCTTTCCTCTTATGTGTCACATCGAAATTAGAGACGGCTAGCGCAGATAGCCTTCGAGTAGCTTTGCACGAAATTCCTAACGAACAAACTGGTATTGTGCGCCTCGGTAACATTAGATACAGCAGACATGGTGTGGTTGAAATACTATTACGCACTCTTCTTCATAGAAAAACTCCGAGGGACCAACTACAAAATAGTGTTAAAAATACAGTAAATTTAATATTATTGTCATACAACAAATGTAATTGATTCTAATCATGCTTCACTAGCAAAAGAAGTTCACACCATAATTATTATTAGGAACGTGTACAGTACGTAAATATGAATGTCCTGTATATACTGTGTTCGCTTCTGCAATATTAAAAGACCATTAATCACCACAGTATGACATGATATCTACCGGTGAGGGTTGGATCCTTTTCGTTTCATTCTGCAGTATTATCATTTGTAATGCTGTGTAAAAATTTGAAAAATATTTTATTTATGGTATTGACTCAAGACCAAAGTTTTTAGCCGTGGTTGTCTAAAAAAAAACGAAGAATCTTTTGAAATTTCGTTTGATGCAGTAAAAGAAATATCTTGCACGTGTGCAATATAGTGTTACATAGAAAAAACTATTGTAAGTCTCTCTCTTATCAAAGATAAGATTCCTCGAGGTGGGCAGATATCCTATTGTGTAGCCTTGGGCTAAAAACAAACTATATATGTAGATAAACTTGAAACTAACATTTTAATAAGGAATATAGGACTGGGCGTGGCTAAGTGCTCGGGCCGTGAATCCAAGGGTTCGTGTTTTACTCTTCATTTTAAGGCTGTGGGTGCGTTATAAAAGTGATAGTCTAATCCCACTATTATATCAGATAAGAGTTGGCGGTTACTATTTACTAGTTGCTTTCCTTCTACTTTGGCCCGGCGGTTACTATTTACTAGTTGCTTTCCTTCTAGTCTGGCCAGGCGGTTACTATTTACTAGTTGCTTTCCTTCTACTTTGGCCCGGCATGGCCAGGTGGTTACGGCACTCGAATCCCCGTCACACCAAACATGCTCGCCCTTTCAGCCGTGGGGGCGTTATATGTGCGGTCAATCCCACTATTCGTTGGTAAAAGATTAGCCCAAGAGTTGGCGGTGGGTGGTGATGACTAGCTGCCTTTCCTCTAGTCTTACACTGCTAACTTAGGGACGACTAACGCAGATAGCCCTCGTGTAGCTTTGCGCGAAATTCAAAAAAAAGAAAAAA